AGGAGCACCATTTCGGCTATACCTTATTGCAGTCAGATCTAAGCCTCATTTGAATTATAGCTGAACTTTACCCCGTTCCTTCCCTCCCCTCAGTCTGTGTCATAAATCACATTCCCCAATGAGGTGCACCCCTAACAAGCCTGCTGTAGTAATCTGAGATCTGACTCTGGCCGAAGGTATCCGTGGAATGCGCTCCCCACTCCCCTTTCTCACCATGGCAACTTTATGAGTTGATAAATGTGCTGGATATAACTTATTTTTCCTTTTCTGATTACAGTCTATGGTCCTGCTTCTTCACAGTCAACGGCAGTACATTTTTGAATTCGATAAGAATGACCGCTTGTCATCTGTAACAATGCCCAACGTAGCTCGGCAGACCTTGGAGACACTTCGATCAATTGGCTACTACAGGAATATCTACAGGCCTCCGGAAGGCAATGCCACCGTGGTAGAAGACTTCAATGAGGAATGGCAACTCCTTCACACCTATTACCTGGGGACCGGAAGACGGGTCATCTACAAGTACGGCAAGCTATCCAAACTGGCAGAAATGCTTTACGACACCACCAAAATCAGCTTCAGCTACGATGAGACCGCAGGCATGTTGAAGACCATCAACTTACAGAACGAAGGGTTCACCTGTACGATCAGGTACCGCCAGATCGGGCCCCTCATTGATCGCCAGATTTTCCGTTTCACGGAAGAAGGCATGGTGAACGCCCGTTTTGATTACAACTACGACAACAGCTTCCGGGTGACCAGCATGCAAGCTGTGATCAACGAAACCCCGTTGCCCATTGACCTCTACCGTTACGACGACGTGTCGGGCAAAACCGAGCAATTTGGCAAATTCGGGGTGATCTATTACGACATCAACCAGATCATCACCACGGCGGTCATGACCCACACAAAACATTTTGACGCGTATGGTCGGATGAAGGAAGTTCAGTATGAAATATTCAGGTCCCTCATGTACTGGATGACCGTACAGTACGACAACATGGGCAGAGTAGTGAAAAAGGAATTGAAGGTGGGCCCTTATGCCAACACTACAAGGTACTCGTACGAATACGACGCCGACGGCCAATTGCAGACGGTGTCCATCAACGAGAAACCGCTCTGGAGATACAGCTACGACCTCAACGGGAATCTCCATTTGTTGAGTCCTGGCAACAGCGCCCGTCTGACGCCACTGAGGTACGACCTCAGGGACCGGATTACGAGACTGGGCGACGTGCAGTATAAGATGGACGAAGATGGCTTCTTGAGGCAAAGGGGGAATGACATTTTTGAGTACAACTCCGCGGGACTTCTCATCAAGGCGTACAACAAAGCCAACAAATGGAGCGTGAAGTATCATTATGACGGGCTCGGAAGGAGAGTCTCCAGCAAGACTACCCACGGTCATCACCTGCAGTTCTTCTACGCGGACCTCACCAACCCCACCAAGGTCACCCATCTGTACAACCACTCCAGCTCTGAGATAACCTCTCTTTACTACGACCTCCAGGGTCACCTCTTTGCCATGGAAGTGAGCAGTGGAGATGAATTCTACATCGCTTGCGACAACATTGGGACCCCCTTGGCGGTCTTCAGTGGAACCGGCCTCATGATCAAGCAGATCCTTTACACGGCTTACGGAGAGATCTACATGGATACCAACCCAAACTTCCAGATTATCATTGGTTACCACGGAGGGCTGTATGATCCCCTCACCAAACTCATACACATGGGGAAGAGAGACTACGACGTCCTAGCTGGACGATGGACCAGCCCGAACCACGAGATTTGGAAACGTCTTAGCCACAGCAACATCATGCCTTTCAACCTCTACATGTTCAAAAACAACAATCCGATCAGTAACGCCCAGGATATAAAATGCTACATGACAGGTAAAACCCACGTTCAGCTCATTGGTTAACTGCCCAGGGTAGAACTGGGACTTCGGCGGGTAACGCGTGGGGTTTGCCATGATACTCTGGACCTCATCCGCAGAATGGACACCATCGCTTACTGGTAAAACGCATGCAATTTTCTAGCATCTTCCATTTGTTTGGTGTAGTGGTTAAGGTGCTGGCCTGGAAACCGGGAGAAGGTGAGTTCTAGCCCTGCCTTAGGCATGAAAGCCAGCTGGGTGACTTTGAGCCAATCACCAGGAGACCGTGAGTTCTAGCCCTGCCTTAGGCATGAAAGCCAGCTGGGTGACTTTGAGCCAATCACCAGGAGACCGTGAGTTCTAGCCCTGCCTTAGGCATGAAAGCCAGCTGGGTGACTTTGAGCCAATCACCAGGAGACCGTGAGTTCTAGCCCTGCCTTAGGAATGAAAGCCAGCTGGGTGACTTTGAGCCAATCACCAGGAGACCGTGAGTTCTAGCCCTGCCTTAGGCATGAAAGCCAGCTGGGTGATTTTGAGCCAATCACCAGGAGACGGTGAGTTCTAGCCCTGCCTTAGGCATGAAAGCCAGCTGGGTGACTTTGAGCCAATCACCAGGAGACCGTGAGTTCTAGTCCCGGTTTAAGCATGAAAGCCAGCTGGGTGATTTTGAGCCAATCACCAGGAGACGGTGAGTTCTAGTCCTGCCTTAGGCATGAAAGCCAACTGGGTGATTTTGAGCCAATCACCAGGAGACCGTGAGTTCTAGTCCTGCCTTAGGCATGAAAGCCAGCTGGGTGATTTTGAGCCAATCACCAG